GCATCAATTTTAATAGAAGAATACACAATGTTGATTCGAGACCAAAGGCAGCAGAAACGGAAAACTTGATCCAAAGTAAAGGTTTAAGTTATAGATCAACTAGATTGCGCAGTTCTTAATTTCTATTTAATTATTTTTATATTTGTTGTTTATTTTATTGTTATCAAGTTTGCCATTTCGTTGATTATAGTACTTGATTTTGTTATCTCAAGATTGTCGTAAAACTCAATGATAAATGTTTTCACTCGAAGCGACACAACTTTTTTCATTTTATTTTTTGTTCGACTTTGAGAGTAGTAGAGTCTTTGCAGTTCCATTGTTGCTGCCCATTCCGTCCCTAGAGTTTTCCTTTTGTGTTCTATAGGTTTATGTTGATTGTTGTGATTAGTTTAGTACTATTTAATTATAATTGTTATTAGCTCGACTTGACTGATGTAATTTATTAATTATTAATTTAAATGGTATGTAAGCATACATAGGTTAAGGATAAGTCTAAATTGTAAATATATATAGAATAGCTACAAAGTAAGTCGGTAGCTTTTAATGTCTCCTTATTCTCTTGTATAAATGATAGCCAGGCAAATATACTAGACCTCACTATAAAGACTCAGCCTTGTAAATATGTATAGAATCACAAAGTAAGTAGGTAGTTATTAATGTACTCTTATTCTCTTGTATTAATGATAGCTAGGCAAACATAGAAGACCAGACTTTGAAGTCTTAATATTGTAAATATGTATACAATAGTTACTAAGTCACAAAGCAAGTCGGTAGTTTTTAACGTTCTCTTATTCTCTTGTATAAATGATAGGCAAACATACTAGATCTGACTTTAGAGTCTTAAGTTTTAACTGTATATAGAATAATTACTGAGTTCCAAAGTGGGTAGGTACTTTTTAACGTCCTCTTATTATATTGTATAAATGATAGCCAGGCAAACATACTAGATCTGAGTTTAAAGTCTTAAGTTTTAACTGTATATAGAATAGTTACCGAGTTTCAAAGTGGGTAGGTAGTTTTTAACGTCCTCTTATTATCTTGTATAAATGATAGCCAGGCACACATACTAGATCTGACTTTAAAGTCTTAAGTTTTAACTGTGTATAGAATAGTTACTGAGTTTCAAAGTGGGTAGGTAGTTTTTAACGTCCTCTTATTCTCTTGTATAAATGATAGTCACGGAAACATACTAGATCTGACTTTAAAGTCTTAAGTTTTAACTGTATATAGAATAGTTATTGAGTTCCAAAGTGGGTGGGTAGATTTTAACGTCCTTTTATTCTCTTGTATAAATGATAGTCAGGCAAACATACTAGATCTGACTTTAAACTCTTTAAGCTTTAACTGTGTATAGAATAGTTACTGATTTCCAAAGTGGGTAGGTTGTTAATGTCCTCTTATTCTCTTGTGTTTTGATACGCAAACAAACATACTAGACCTCTGTTTACAGTCTAAATTGAAAATATGTATAGAATAGTTACTGAGTTACAAAATGGGTAGGTACCTAGTTTAAATGTCCTCTTATTATCTTGTATAATGATAGCCAGGTAAACATACTAGACCTCACTTTAAAGACTAAAAATTGTAAATATGTATAGAATCACAAAATAGGTAGTTTTAATGTAATCTTATTCTTTTGTATAAATGAATGCCAGCCAAATATACTAGACATCACTTTAAGAAGTAAAAAATTGTAAATATGTGCAAAATCACAAATTAAGTAGGTAGTTTTTAATGTCCTCTTTTTCTCTTGTATTAATGATAGCTAGGCAAACATACAAGACCAGATTTTCAAGTCTAAATTGTAAATATGTATAGAGTAATTACTGAGGCACGACGTAAGTAGATAGTTTTTAACGTCCTCTCAATCTGTTATATAAATGATGATGGCCTGGCAAATATACTAGACCTCACTTTTAAGTTTAAAAATTGTCAATATGTATAGAATCAAAAAAGAAGTAGGTAATTTTAATGTCCTCTTATTCTCTCGTATTAATGATACCTAGGCAAACATACAAGACCAGACTTTCATGTCTACATTGTAAATATTATATAGAATAGTTACGGGGTGGGAGGTAGATTTTGATGTCCTTTTATTCTCTTGTGCGTTTCATATTTCGACAAACATACTAGAACAAGTTTGCCATTTCGTAATTATAGTACTTGATTTTGTTATGTCATGTTTATTGTAAAATTCAATGGCAAATTTTTTCAGTCGATGCGGCACAATTTCTTTATTTTACTTATTTGTTCGATTTTGATTAGCAATTCTTTTAGATCTAGAGTGTTTGCAGTTCCATTGTGGCCGCCCATTCCGTCTTTAGAATTTTCTGTTTATATTCTATACGTTTATGTTGATTGTTGTGATTAGTTAGGTACTATTTAATTGTAATTGTTATTAGCTCTACTCGACTTATGTACTTTATTGGTTATCATTTAAATGATATGTAAGCATATATAGGTTCAGGCTAAGTCTAAATTGTAAATATGTATAGAATGGCTACAAAGTAAGTAGGTAGCTTTTAATGTCCTCTTATTTTCTTGTATAAATGATAGCCAGACAAATATACTAGACCTCACTATAAAGACTAAACCTTGTAAATATGTATAGAATCACAAAATAAGTAGGTAGTTATTAATGTACTCTTATTCTCTTGTATTAATGATAACTAGGCAAACATACAAGACTTTCAAGTCTTAATATTGTAAATATGTAGAGAATAGTTACTAAGTCACAAAGTAAGTAGGTAGTTTTTAACGTCCTCTTATTCTCTTGTATAAATGATAGTCAGGCAAACATACTAAATCTGACTTTCAAGTCTTAAGTTTGAACTGTATATAGAATAATTACTGAGTTCCAAAGTGGGTAGGTAGTTTTTAACGTTCTCTTATTATCTTGTATAAATGATAGCCAGGCAAACATACTAGATCTGACTTTAAAGTCTTTAAGTTTTAACTGTGTATAGACTAGTTACTAATTTCCAAAGTAGGTAGGTTGTTAATGTCCTCTTATTCTTGTGTTTTGATACGCAGACAAACATACTAGACCTCTCTTTATAGTCTAAATTGTAAATATGTATAGAATAGTTACTGAGTTACAAAATGGGTAGGTAGTTTACTTGTCCTTTTATTATCTTGTATAAATAATAGCCACGCAAACATACTACACCTCACTTTGAAGACTAAAAATTGTAAATATGTATAGAATCACAAAATAGGTAGTTTTTAATGTCTCTTTTATAAATTCTCTTTTATAAATGATAGCCAGACAAGTATACTAGAACTCACTTTAAGAACTAAAGATTGTAAATATGTGTAAAATCACAAAGTAAGTAGGTAGCTTTTATGTCCTCTTATTCCCTGTTGTTAATGATAGCTAAACAAACATACAAGACCAGATTTTCAAGTCTAAATTGTAAATATGTATAGAATAGTTACTGAGTTACAACGTAAGTAGGTAGTTTTTAACGTCCTCTTTTAACATTCTCTTATTTAAATGATGATGGCCAGGCAAATATACTAGACGTCACTTTAAAGTCTAAAAGTTGTCAATATGTTTAAAATAAAAAAAGGAAGTAGGTAGCTTTTAATCTCTTATTCTCTCGTATTATTGATAGCTAGGCAAACATACTAGACCAGACTTTCATGTCTACATTGTAAATATTATATAGAATAGTTACGAGGTGGGTAGGTAGTTTTTGATGTCCTTTTATTCTCTTGTGCTTTTCATATTCTGACAAACATACTAGAACTTAGTCCAGTTTGCAAATATGATTAAATTATACATATGCATATACGTGTAAGCATTTCTGTATACTTTGGGCTTTTTTTTTAAAAACGCGCACACTCAACATAGCCCTGCACTAGGGAAACCCTTTGTCGCGGGAGCCATGGACACACACATAGACAACCACATTTACACCCACACTCCGAGAGAAATGAATGTAGGCCATACAAATGTTTGCCCGGCCCGGGAATCGAACCTGAGACTTCTGCGTGGCAGTCCGGCTTGGTAACCGTTCGGCCACGGAGGCAGTTATTGCTTTTGGATAAGAGTAGTGTAGTAGTGTCCCATATTATATGCGGGCGGAGCTATATCCAAGTAGTGGTTGAGTCGCACGGAACAGCGCGGAAATTGTACATTATCGTATGTACTAGGTCGGGCGCTGTTCCCCCTCATCAGAGGGGCCATTTCATTGGTACACGTACACATTTTAGCCGTAGAAATTGGTATTATTAAAATATAAAAATTGTTACTTAAGTTCGGTATAAGATATATTAATGTATAAGTATCTGTGTATTAAATAAATAAATAAAAGTCATTCTTACTCATTTTAATCCCCATTCCTAAAATTTTTGTATCTCCAGAACCTGAGCGTACAAAATCCGGAAAAATATTCTATACTTTAATCGTATGGCACAGCTCTAACACCGGTTTTATCGATTAGAGGGCGTCCCTATTTTACTACAATACTACACATAACTATATGAAAGGTGTAAAAGGAACAAAAGAGTTGATAATGAACAAATTTCAAAGTGCAAGTGAGATATTGCATAAATTTATCAATGAATATCTATAGCACATTCCTCGCCGCCTCCGCGTCGCATCATACCCCACTACTATGACATTGTCTTTCCAAAGACTTAACCGTCTGTCTTGTATTTTTAGTTTGTGCTCGGGATTCCTTAAAACGGGCCGATATGGGTATTTTAGGTCGAGATTCGTATAATTTCGCGTTTTAATCTTCGATAAAGGCACAATAGCACTATCCTATTCCACTTTAAACTAGATTTCACGAAATAATTGAAAGTCAAAATAAAAACGACACTTTTCCCTCCAAAAGGTCCAGAGCGAATGTTTTTTTTTTTCTTCTTCTTTCCATAAAGGAAAAGGCAAAGGTTTTACACCATACAGCCAAGTCTTGGTACATTATTCTTTTTTTGGTGAAAAATAAAGGCATACGCCAAGTCTTCATTTCATTATACATTTTAAAGGCGATAAGCCTCGTCTTCGGTGGTCAAGTCAGGGTATAGTTCCAATTCCGGTTAAAATTTCAACTCCGAGTGTTCGTCAAGTCCAGTGATCGACAATTCCGATTAATGCAAAATCCATTCTAAAGATCTTCTATTGTAGAACAAATGAAATTATAAATATGATTGTAAGTTTCAGGATTCTTGAGAAGTTCTTGAGTACCGCGCGGGATCGGACTCGAAGGTTGGTAAATAGATATTAGCTTATCAATTAAGGCTAAGCGCTGAATATTATAATTGGGGCAGTCAAATATTATATGGTCCAGTGTTTGATCAAAGTCTAAGTTGCATTCTGTGCATTTAGGCGACAGGGCTATTTTCATCCTATGTAAATGAGCATTGATGCGACAGTGGCCAAATCGTAAACGAGATATAACAGTATAAAATTTTCTTCCTTTGTATTGTTGTGATTTGGAAAACCAAGGTTTTTTCCCAATATCTTGATTAATTGAAGCGTACCAAGAACCTTTACGTATTTTAATATCGTTCCAACGAGTAAACCATTCAGAGAGGATATCTTTCTTGATCTTGGATATTAGGTCTGTATAATGGACACCATATGAGACAGTGGTGCCCTCATCAGTGTCCTGGCATCCATTGAAGTTGCATGCTGTTTTCGCAAGGAAATCTGCGCTTTCATTGCCTCTCACACCTACATGCGCCGGTGTCCACATAAATTGCACGTGAATGTTGTCATTACGTAGTTGCAACCACATTTCCTTAATATCGTAAATAATAAAATTAACTTTGCTATTCATAGTTGTGCTTTGTAGAGACTTTAAGACGCTCATACTATCCGTCACAATAAGCCATCTGTTAGTTTGTTTGCTTTGTTTTATAAACTGGAGAACTTTAAGAATAGCCAGAGATTCCGCAGAAAAGATACTAAAACATTCTGTTAGCTTCTCTCCGTAACCGAATTTTAAATGTGGTACGTAAAAAGCAAATGAAGAGGTAAATGCCGACTTTGAACCATCCGTGTAAATTGGTATCAAATCTTTAAAAGTGAAAATTTTCTGATATATTTCTTCTTTGGTTTTCAAGTTTAGGTCAATGTGAATAGGGATGGTAATATATTTGCTTTCGTAGCTTCCATTAAAACAAGTCCAGTTCTGTTCACTTGTATATAGTTTATTGCGCAGTTTTATTTCATTTATGTATAAAAAGTCATGAAGAATAAACGGGGCAGATAACGGAACGGAAGAAGATAGTTCACGAAAGGAAAAGGAATTATATAAATTATATATTTTTTTTAAAAGAAGATTTGGATCTAACGAACATAAATGGAGAAGAAAATTAAATTTTAGATATTTAAATCGCAGGATTAAAGGGGGAACATTACATTCCACCTGCAAGGAATTAATTGGAGTAGTTCTGAAAGCACCTGTAATAGTTCTTAAGCTGTGGTTCTGGAGAATATCCAATTTCTGGACCAACTTATCATTTGATGCGTAGCAAAGGAAACCATATTCGAAGTGACTGCGTACTAAAGACTTATACAAATTCAATAGTATTTTGGGATCTGAACCCCAATAGGTTGATGATAATGATTTTAAAATATTTAATGCCTTTGAAGCTCGTGCGGTAATGTGCTCGACATATTTATTCCAGGACATGTTTTTCATAAAAGTAACACCTAAAAATCTTACGGAGTCTGCAAAAGATAATTCTAAATTATTATAAAAAAGTTTGTAATGTTTTCGTTTAATGCCCACTCCATTAAAAATAACTACTTTGGTCTTATCAGCATTTATGTCTAAGTTTAAATATTTGAAATAATTATTTAATTTACTTAAAGCAAGATTTAATTTGTTTATAGTCAATTGTAAATCTGAGCCTGAGGAATAAACCACAAGATCATCAGCATATTGCAGGTTGCTTACTTCTGAACCCAAAACATAGTTGAGCTTGTTTATATACAACAGAAACACTAAAGGGCTTAATATCCCACCTTGACATACACCTTTAAAAGATTCTCTGGGGCCAATCAGATAATTTTTAACCTTGGCATAAACTTCTCGTCCATGCAAAAACTTAAAAATCCATAGTACGATTTTTTTAGGTAATCCTAGCAACATTAACTCTTTTGACAGTATGTGAAGATTGACATTATTAAACGCACCGATGATATCGAAAAAAATTGCGAACAATGTATTGTGTTGTTTAAAAGAATGAAAAATATCTAATTGAAGATGAGTTATACTCTCTCTAGCAGATCTACCTTTTCTAAAACCAAACTGGTTAGAGGGTAATATATTATTATGTTCTATATAGAATTCTAATCTCTGTTTTAAAAGTTGTTCAAATATTTTCCCCATACAAGATGCTAAAGTATGCCAGTATAGATTCTAGAAAAGTAATACTGAATATTTATAATTCTCTATGGGCTACAGATTTAATACCAACACAGTGGAAAACAGATTGTCTCATCCCTGCACTTAAACCAGATAAGGATAAGGATAATTATGAATCATACAGGCCAATAACTTTGACATCTTGTATGGAATACCGTCAAGTCCGCAAGCTGTATCTCTCCGTGAAGATATCGCTGCATTAAACTCCCCTAGTGTAAACTGATTTGTTAAGTATTCAGAGTGAGAAGCTGGTACAGACTGTTCAATTAAATTCAATGGAGACTCAACGGTGTCTGGTGTATATTTCTTAAGAAAATTATTGATCAAGTCTATGTTGGTTATGACATTAGTGCTTTTGGGTTTCTTATTAAATTTTCTCATCATAGACCAGATATATGATAAAGGAGTTGTTCTGTTGAATGTTTCAGTTAGAGAATACCAGCTCAATTTTCTCTCATTATTTAAAATCAGTTTCCTTTGTGCCTGTTTTTGTTTAAAAGTCAAGTAATTTACTTCACTTGGATCTGCTTTAAAATTTAAGTATGTTTGTTTGACATCTTTTACAGCATTTGCACAGTTTTGATTCCACCAAGCCAAAGGTATCCTTTGTTTTTTAGGTTTTGTCAAGGAGTGATATATATGTGAAGGTGCACACTTGTGTTGAATTAAAGTAGATTGTTCTGCAGTTACATTAATAATGGCAGTTAATTCTGAATATGACTTTAATGGATTGGAAAGGTCGAAGTTATGGTTTGACATCAAACTATCTAACACCATTGTATATTTTTTAAAATCAATGTTTCTACTACTTAAATGATGAGGAAAAGGTATATTGTTTTGATAATTAGGTACAGAATCATGAGAATTGTCCTTAATTAATAATTTTGTTATTACAGGTAAATGAAAGCTACCAAGTGGGTCATCAGTTACTATCCAGTCAGAATTAAGAGCCAAAGAAGGCGAAACAATGGTTAAATCCAAGGCATTGGGCTGCCAAATGTGTGAGCCAACAGTTGTAGGATGTCCATTATTAAGTATGACCAAACCATTTTCATCTGAACTTTCATAGATGTCACGACCCCTAGCATCGATAGATGAACATCCCCAAAGCAGGTGGTGGGCATTAAAGTCACCTGCTAGAAATATTGGTTCCGGAATATTACGGATGAGATTATTTAACTTTTTCTTTGAAAACTGAAGAGTGCAATTACCTGGACTATATAGACTTATTATAGATAATTCTTTATTACAATATTTTAATCTAATAGCAATATTTTGAAGTGAATCATCATATTTTGTTTGTATACTAGTGTAATTTAATTTATTGTGAATTAGTATGGCTACACCATTATGAGTGTTGCCTGAATCTAACCTAACCAAGTTATATTCTTTAAATCTTATTTTGTGATGTGGTTTTAGCCACGTTTCACAAATTACTGCAATGTGAATATTGTTCTCATATAAAAATTGTGAAAAAATATGTCTATGGCACATTAAGCTCTGAGCATTCCATTGAACTATGTTCAGACTGTCCATTAGTGTAATATGTTATTTTGTTTTTCTACATTAAATGTCTCTATGAGGATATCTTTGATGGATTTTGAATTGATTTCTTTTTGATTCAATTTATTGAGGGATATTAATTTAACTATTGAATTTAATAAAATGTCTAAAATTTTTTCTGAGTTTAATAGGGAAATAAATTGATCAGTTTGTGAAACTTTTCTATGTAGGGAGGGAAATGACTTTTCATTGACTACTGCGGAATATGCTCTCTTTTGAAACAAATCTGTGTTTTGTTTTAATTTTTGTATTTTACTGGACACTCCTTCGATATAGCTATATGCCGACCCTGACAATGTAAGCAGGTAGCGTCTTTAGTGTCTATCGTACATGTTTTGAAGTTGTGGTTGCCTCCACATACTGAGCATCTTTCTGAGTTCTTACAAAATTTGCCAATGTGACCATACCTGAGGCACCGTAGGCATTGCTTCACTGGTGGGATGTAGGGTTTTACATCAAAACGCCAACTGTTGAGGTCTATGGATTCTGGCAGGACTGGGCAGGAAAAGGTAATGGACACGGTTAGGGTAGGAGTAATCTGAAAATCATTGTCAACTTTATTTCGTCTCATAAAACGTCTTATTTGTACTATGTGTTTTGTACTGGAGATGGTGTCATATATTTCTTGGTTCGATAGATTGATTGGAACGTGTGAGATGACTCCTGTCACCTCTGTGGCTCCTGCAGGAATTGTCGCTTTCATTTTATATGAATCCAAATATTTGGTGTTTGTGAGGGCAGCATTAGCAAACGAAGCTCGCTCAAATATGACTCCTATTTTATATTTGTTAATTCTTACCAATTGTTTAACTCCCTTATTATACCTTTTTAGGGAAGTGGACATACCCATCATGTCCCTGTCGCCTATCGGTTTCCCGGGATCTGTGGACTCAAAAAATACTATATATTCGAAGTTACCCCCATTTTCAGGGTAACTACGTGTATAGTTCAGTACTCTGAAAGGTTCGTATTTATTTGCAGCGGTACTGGTGGAGGATATGGAGTCGTTGTCCGAATCTGTGTTTTGTCGGCTTTCTTCTTCTCCGTCTTTTCCCTTCTTCCTCTTACGCTTCCCCATCGTAAAGCCGTTTGAAGAAAGTTATTTAACGAACAATATATGATTTTAAAAATTTATAATAAAAAATCGCGTCGTTCAGGTCGAAGTTTCCCGCGCTTTTTTTCCCAGAGCGAATGTTCACGCTAAGACGCTATATTGACATTTGGGAGCACGTTCTCAAAC